CAGCCGCCACGTCCGAAGCTGCGCACTCGCGTCTGCGCAGTCCAGTCACCTGCGCGCAATCTCTACTGCGCACTCGCGCTCTGATTGGTCCGCGTTTTTCCTCAATAACTCGATAACGAAGCTTCATACGCCATTTTCGCAAAGAGAAATCTTACTCAGAATCAACTTCCTCATTTCAAGGACCTACATTAAACACCCTATCTTTCAAAAATTGCCCAAGAATCCATAAAATCTTCACATCATAAAAATGGCGTCTTCGAAGGGGTTCGACGAAAGGTTCCAGGGGTGAACAGGCGGTGATAGAGCGTTACTAGCAGTAGATAGATAATATAGTAGCAAAGACGATACAGTAAGAGTAGTAGTGATAAGAAGTACAAAGGTACGATACACGTATTACAAGAGTGTATGTGAGTGACAGAGATAGAGAGAGAGTGAGAGAGAGAGAGAGGACAGAGAAAAAAAACTGAAAGGTAGATGAGAAACAATTGTGAGAAAGGAAAAAAGAGAAATAGCGAGCTTAGAAACTAACGAAACTAAAGAAACACTTTGTGTGTCTGTGTGTTTGGATGTGTATACACGTGTGCATTATATGCGTTTCTCTTTCTTTCTTAACCCCTTGAACGTTTATCGCTAAATGTCACAAAAATTTGTAAAATATCAATTTAACTGCAGTTATTTAATTACTTTATTGTATACTCTATTTAATTACTGTACTGTATACTCTATTTAATTTAATTACTTTTCATACTTGCAATTATTTGTCCATTATCGTTTTTGTCAATCATCAATTCTAATGTATAAATTTTTCATCAAATGTTTCAAACCTTAAAATAATTTGTTTCAACATGAAATTAAAAAACGATGAACGTCCAAGGGGTTCTCGCTATCGATACGCTCTTAGAGTTAGAATTAAAGTAAAAAAAAGTAAGTAGGTAAATAGAGGATACGAACTAGGGAATATTCAATGACAATGTTAAAGATAAATGAATAATTAGCGCTACAATTAATAATTAAGATAGAATAAAAAAAGAAAACAGAACGCAGCGATTAAAGGGTGACAATTAACAATGATAATCGTCGTAATCATAAAAAAAAATAGTAGATAATAATAATAATAAAAAAAGAACAAGTCGAAGTGTTAAGAATTGTAGGACGACGCAAAAAACGTTTCCTTTCAACGAACAGAATATTCGATGAGAAAAGGGTGTCGTGTTTGAGGGTAGTTCGTATCGAAAATACCTGAAAGACGTCGAGTCCCGGAAGCGGAAAAATCAAGATGTTAAAACAAACGGAAATTTCCCTCCGCCTCCAAGATACAATTTTTCGTACAAAATATTCGAAACGAGGGGAAAAACCACTTCCGGTACTCAGTAACACGGAAAATACTTTTCGCAGGGTTTGTGACAGAGGGGTTCGAGGTATAAAAATCGTGACGAAAGAACGATCGATACTGTTCGATTCATTTTTTTTTTTCCATTTGTATGTGCGTCTCTGTGTGTTCGTGTCGTGTGTGTATAAATGCAAAACGCGATACGTTCTTTTTGTGTTAAATGCTGATCGTCGATCGTCGTCTATCTTTCACCCTGTTAGTTGTATAGTTAGTTTTGTAAAAATGTTTAAGAATAGCACTGCTGTATTTGCGATCCCATGTAGAAAATCCTCGAAAGTTTCTAATAAGTAGGAAATGATTGTCGTTGAGCTTTGTAGACCCTCTGCCTCAGATTCAGTTTTGTCAATTTTGCGATTATAAATATTTCGGACAACATTGACAGTATTTTAAAATTGAAACTGGAAAGTGAATTAAAAGTGGAATAAAATATCGTTAAAAGAAGCGGAGAATTTGAATAAAAGCGTTTCCAATTTCAAAGACATTGGCACTTTGAATCCGAGCGTATTAGAAAATTCACCTCAACTACGCAAAAGTCCTTATTCTTAGTTGCGAATATTCTATTCAGGGGTCGAAAAACTGTTCTGGGTCAAACCCGTTTACAGTCTAAGAATTTCTGCAAGAAACGAAGGAAATTTTTAATAAATTTGATCACAAGTTTATCGACCCCCGTCTAATCGTTTAAAAATACAGTGACTGGTATCTGATCGTTTCTATCTACACGCGTGAGCACGCGATATCGCGTGAGCGTCTCAGCGTGAAACCGGAGAATTCAGAAATTTCCAAATTTATAGACATGCACAAATCTAAATATTAAAATTTTGAAATTTCCAAAATTCCCCGAATCTGGATGTCGTTCACGCGATATCGCGTGAGAAGCTTAGAAGCTCGAGCACGCGACGAAGCGCAGCGAACGCAATAACGATTCGACGACGATCGATCGATCGATCGGAAACGAGTTCCTCTCCTTGTCTCTGTCCCTAAACTCGAGGTACGACTTCTTGTATGACACACACAACTAATCCCTAAACGAAACTAACTAGAAACAGCTTAAACCGTAAACACGCCCGCTCTGACAGATCTAATAAGAGAGAGAGAGAATACGTTCTCTTCAAACGTGTATTATATAGAAAATGAAAAATTGATTTGTCTTGCCGGAGACGAGCTGATTGTGACATGCAACGCAATTCCTGGCCCACGAATTGTGATTCCCTTGATCGCTTCTCCCTGCAGTCATTTTAACCAAATGTTTTAACCAGCGGAAATCAGTTGTCTGAAGTCAGTTTAATGGGGATCCTCTTTGGACATGTTTAACCTAGGATTCATTTTATAGTGATTTTTGTATTTTTTTTTGGGGGAGGTTCAAAAGTTGTTGATGTGAGTTTCGAGGTTAATCCTTTCTTTCAGGTCTTTCAAGGTTAATTCTTTCTTTCAGGTCTTTCAAGGTTAATCCTTTCTTTCAGGTCTTTCAAGGTTAATCCAATCCTTTCAAGGTTAAAGGTGGTGAGAAACTTTGGAGATCCTGGGAATACTAGGACATATGCAACATAGGACATGTGGAACATAGGACATATGGAACATAGGACATATGGAACATAGGATTATGGGACATAGGACATGAGGAACATTAAACATGCCACATAGAATATGGGACATGTGGAACATAGGAAATAAGGAACATTAAGCATGGAACATAGAACATAGGACATTTTACATGTGGAACATAGAACATGGAACATGGGACATATGGAACATATGAAGAATTTAGAGTATTTAGGAACATTAGGTACTCTGAGGATTTTAAAGGATCTGGGTGACCCAGAAAATGTGGAGGACCTAGTGATCCTAGTAGCTCCAGATGTCTTAGGAGATCTACACATCTGATGGGATCTGGTGATCATGAGGAACCTAGGATATTTAGAAACCTTGATAAGCTAGAGACTCTGCGAAACCTAGAGACTCTGAAACACCCATAGGTCTTTGAGGTTTTGGACCTAGTGACTCTGTTAAATTTAGAGGTCTAAGTGGACCTACAGATCTAAAGGGACCTGGTGATTGTAGAAATCCTAGGATATTTAGAAACCTTGATAAGCTAGAGACTCTGCGAAACCTGGAGACTCTGCAACACCCACAGATTTTAGAGGATGTGGACCTAGTGACTCTGTCAAATTTAGAGGTCCTAGTGGATCTACATATCTGAAGGGACCTGGTGATTGTGGAGATCCTAGGGTATCTGGAAACCTTGAGAAACTAGAGACTCTGGGAAACCTGGAGACTCAACACCCACAGATTCTAGAGGATGTGGACCTAGTGACTCTGTCAAGTTTAGAGGTCCTAGTGGACCTACAAATCTGAAGGGACCTGGTGATTGTGGAGATCCTAGGATATCTGGAAACCTTGAGAAACTAGATTCTCTGGGGAACCTAGTTGCAACACCCACAGATTTTAGAGGATGTGGACCTAGTGACTCTGTCAAGTTTAGAGGACCTAGTGGACCTACAGATCTAAAGGGACCTGGTGATTGTGGAGATCCTAGGATGTGTGGAAACCTTGAGAGCCTAGAGACTCTGAGATATCAGATCTTAGAGAATTTGGACCTAGTGACTCTGGCAAATTTAGAGGTCCTAGTGGATCTACAGACCTGAAGGGACCTGGTGATTGTAAGGATCCTAGGATGTGTGGAAACCTTGAGAGCCTAGAGACTCTGGGTTACCAGATCTTAGAGAATTTGGACCTAGTGACTCTGGCAAGATTAGAGGTCCTAAAGATCTGAAGGGACCTGGTGATTGTGAGGATCCTAGGATGTGTGGAAACTTTGAGAGCCTAGAGACTCTGAGATATCAGATCTTAGAGAATTTGGACTTAGTGACTCTGGCAAGTTTAGAGGTCCCAGTGGACTTATAGGTCTGAAGTGATAACGTCTAACCTGGTAATTCTATGGATCCTAGGAAACCTAGAGACTCTATAAAACCTTGAGACCCCGGAAACCTTAGAGACACCAGAAAACCTAGAGACTCTGACCAACTTAGGGATCATGATGGATCTACAGACCCAGAAGGACCTGTAACCTCAGTTAATCTAGAGTCTTGTGATAAATGCTGAGTCTTGTAACATGGACCTCAAACAACCTAGTCCTCCAGAAACCTCCAGACTCTAAAAATCTCCAAATAATATACAAACTCTAGTGAATCCAGAAAACTTGTCCAAATTTCAAACTTAGCGTAAATAGCCATCACAGGTAAATCATCCCAGATTAAACATGCCAACGAGGACCACAGGAGTGTAACAGTAGTTCAAACAAGGAAGATCAAATCTGGAATATTGAATCTTACATGAAAAGGTACAGAAATAAAATGCTCGCTGTGTAGATTCGAAAGAAGAAAGATGAACGTAAGTGTGGACAGCTAAAACAAAGATCGAGGTATTTGATGACTGATAAATCGTTCGTTCGACAGCTTTTCCAACGGCTCAGGGATCGAAGATTCTCGATACAGAGAGTCCAGTGATTGTCGTTTACCTATACATTAGTAATTGTTAAAGATCTGGAGGCTTAATTAGAAAGGGGGGCTCTACTACACGAGTCTAACACGCTAAGATTGTGTGTTCTGCGTTTCTGTGTACGTGTGTGTTTTCTCTCTCTGACTGTACTCTTTCGTGCACGTGGCGAAAGCGATTTTGCAAAAATTCCTATGATTCCACTTTCAAGATTTCACGATTCTTCAAATTTTTACAAATTAAATAATAGAAAAAAAATTGACAATATTTAACTTTTATAATTTGAAATTGTTCAGAATTAGCAAAAATTTCTAGTATGCCATTAAAAATTTGTCAGTGGAATTTTATTAATTTTGTTAATTGACAATAATTTACTAAAAGAAAATTTATTTAATTTTGAATAGAAGTCTACTTTGGACCACATGCACGTGTGTGTGTCGTTTATAATCATTTCGCTAAACTTGTTATTTTGTGTCCTCCACTTAACAGCTATTCCTTAGATAATCTCTTATATCTCGACTTAACGCTCACTTAAAGTCCCATAAGATCGTCCTCGACCTTTATCTCCAATAATCTTGATATCTGGGGTCATCGGCACTGATTAGGCTCGTTCTCGTTTTCCCCTCTCAAAACCATCATTTTTGGCAATGTATCGACGCTATTGTACCAACTCTACGCATGGCCTAAACGTGGTTCCCATGGAAAGCAGGCAAGATAAGATCACTCGAACCCATTGAGGCACACCATTAAAATAAGAAAAGAAAATGGAAACGGAAACGACGAAGGTACTTTCCAGACAGTCTTAGACACGATGATCGCTGATATGTCCACTTAAACCGGAAAGCAATGAAATATTCAACAAACCATGGCTTCCATGGTGGTCAGTTAAAGGTATACCTCTCTCCCTGTCTCGTTGCCAAATGTTCACAGGGTGACAATAGGTAGTCAAACCTTTGGAACGAAAATGGAGCAAAAATTTCACTTTCAATAACACTTTCAAACCCAAGTGGGTATTACGTATTGTACAGGGGCCGCACAGCTGTTACTCCGGGATTGAACTTGTACTTTCTGAAATCTGTTGAAATTTTTCTACTTGTCATATTTTTTTATTAAAAATTTCAGTGAAGAAGTAAATCTTAAGCTAGAAAAGTTTGACAACCCATTTCGAAAGGTTGGGTCACCCTGTATATCATTCCTATAAATTCTCCATAATATCTAACACGGAGAAAAAAAGTTTGATCGAACAGCGTCGAAATCGTTTATTCCCTATTATTTAATTTAATTAATTAGCTCCCGGGGGCGACGAGAATCGACGATTAAGCGCTGGTCCAGTTAAATCTTGGTTTTGAACGACGCCTAAGGCCCCGATTAGGCAAACACACCATACACGATGAACGAGATATACACATGTGCTATACCGACATTCACTCGTGTCACTTTCGCGCGCTTTCACACCCTCGTAGCTCATCATCGTGTCCCTAGTACCGAATGTACAATAAACTCGTAATATAGATTAATCTTTTGTGGCTCATCGAGTGAACCGTAACGACGATAATCCTAGACTTATTAATTATTAATAAAATATAGATATTATTGGGATGCAGCCGCTGCTCACTTTTGGACACACCTGTGTTACAATGCGATATATCAAATATATAGGAGATATACATAGTGTGTACGTGTGTATGCGTGTGTGTCGGGTTGTTTCGAGTGAATGTTTTCAAGTGTGTACATACATGACTCTTGTTTATTTATAATTTCTAATTAACCTCTGTAGGCTAAGCTTCGTCTACTGCGTGGCTCGAACCAGACCCCGAATTTCCTTGGTCCGAACTGGTTTTCAGTTTTCTTTCTTTCGTATCGTGACTTTACTCCAATTTTGATCATGAAACGTTTTCATGAAGTGATACTTACGGATTATGGTTGTTGCTCTTTGAGATTTGGGTTTGATAAGGTTTGATGTTTGATGACACTTCAAAATGTCATAAGTGACACTTTTTAGTGTTTGATAAGGTTTAATGTTTGATGACACTTCAAAATGTCGAAGGACACTTCTTAGTGTTTGATAAGGTTTGATGATGTTTGTTGAGGTCCAATGACATTTCTTAATACTTAATAATGTTTAATGATGTTTGAGGTCCAATGACACTTCTTAATGTTTGACAAAGTTTGATGATGTTTGTTGAAGTCCAATGACATTTCTTAATGTTTAATAATGTTTCATGATGTTTGAGGTCCAATAACACTTCTTAATGTTTGACAAGGTTTGATGATGTTTGAGGTCCAATGACACTTCTTAATGTTTGACAAGGTTTGATGATGTTTGTTGAAGTCCATTGACATTACTTAATGTTTAATAATGTTTGATGATGTTTGAGGTCCAATGATACTTCTTAATGTTTGACAAAGTTTGATGATGTTTGTTGAGGTTCAATAACATTTCTTAATGTTTAATAATGTTTCATGATGTTTGAGGTCCAATAACACTTCTTAATGTTTGACAAGGTTTGATGATGTTTGAGGTCCAATGACACTTCTTAATGTTTGACAAAGTTTGATGATGTTTGTTGAGGTCCAATGACACTTCTCAATGTTCCATAAGGTTTGTTGGTTCCTCTTATGTCAACTGATCAAACATCAAGACACATTTAATTACTGACAGAGAGGAGCATGTTAATATCAATAACTATTGATATGCATTAATTGAAGTGCAATTTGGTTTGACAAAGTTTGACAAATTTTTGCAATTACAAAGGCAGTACTATTAATAATCCTTGACAATCTATATTATAGTCTATAATCTAACATTTTATATTTAAAAATAATTAAAAAAACAATCATCTCAGTGGCAACAACCAATCCCCAAGGTATCAATGAGTTAAAGAAAAGAGAAATGGAAGGAGCAATCCACGGTGTATGAACCGGGATGATTTCAAACAGTTTCAAACTTCCTCCTGATCGAAGTCGATCGAGCAATCTCATTGGTCACACGTTCTTTCCTTCTGTCTCTATTATATAAAAATACGTCTATATGAAGAGATCGCGTCGAATATCTGTATACAATATATTAGAACGATTTTTCTAGAATTTCGCAAGGAGATTTTTCATTGGTCTGGAGAAATTTCGGAGCCTGAATATCTGCAACACCATGTAGCGAGTGCTGGCTATCCCAACTCTCACATCGGCCCCCCTCAACCCAGCTAGTGATATACTCGATCTAAACCCTCTACAGGGTGTCTTCAAAAAACAACCGGTTCACACCTCTTCAAACCTTCAATGCTTCAACAGATTGTTTCGAACAAGAAGATCAAAATGGCTGATATCTGAAATAAGAACAATCTATAATTATCTGACAAACTACTTCAAACATCAAACAATGTGTTTGCTTCAAATGATAGGTCTCTAAAAAATACTTATTCAAACTTTCACTTATTCAAACTTTCCTGAAATTGAAAAAAGTCCATTCAAATCAGCTTAAACCTCTGCAAACAAGACCTTGAAATCAATGATTAAATTACAGTAATACTTGAATATCTAACTGTATCCTTGAATATATGTATTTGTGCGACTCGACACCCTGTAGACTATAACCCATACACAAATAACTTACCAAATTGATTGTTTGTCTTAAAGCTGTACTACTGTCCCTCAAATAGAAATTCCCGGTTAACGGTGGAAGTCTCCCCTTAAAATCAGGAGGGAAGTAAATAAAGAAATCATTGTCGAGTGTCCTGCAGGCAAGTCTGCCCAGATCCGTGTATACGTGTACGTGATCGTGTGAGTGTGTGAACGGGAATGTGTCCGGAAATTCTTAAAAAAAAAAGAACGAAACGTTTACAGGCTTTTCAGGTACGCTTGCAATTGTGCCGGAAATACTATTGTGCGAGTGGTCCTCAGTCGAAGACAGGGACAATTTGTGCGCTCGCGGGCGCGAGATTGAAAGAGCCTGCTTTGGATAATACTTGAAGAACATAGGATCGAAGACGGAACGCAGGACAACTGCGAGGTAAAATGGCGACGGCGGAGAGGCTGAAGCTCGTTCCGGCAGTTAACTGTCGCGTGTTCTAAAAAGAACAAGAAGCAGCCTCCTCCGGCGTCACAGCCTGAACACCGGAACAAGCCCGTTCCGAGGAAGCCAAGAAACAAAACGCGTGTATTCGTGTGTACAGCCAGTGTGTTGACGCCTGACCAGCGCCTCTCGTAGAATCTATAAATGCAGTCGTCGGATTAAACAATTACGTGGGAGATTCGAAAGACAGATCATAGATGCAAAGACTGGCCCCTTCGCTCATGCCGGCTACTCGCTACGTCTCTACTTGTTGATTTTGGTCGACCTCCCGACGAACACCGCCATCTGTTTGGTGCAAATAGTCGACGTTCGTGCGGTGGCAAGTAACATCTCTTCGTGACTCGACACATCCCATCCTAGAGTTAACGGCTAGCCTACTTTGGCACAAACAACACTGCCCGGGCCGGCACTCGCTTTTTAATATACATATATATACGTTTTTTTGTAATTTTCTCGGTTTTTTCCATCACACTTCATCTCACGCACGCACACATCTGGCACACGTCAGGCTCTCCTTTCGCACGCTCAGCCAATCAACCATACGCGGAAACATTGTTCTCCTTGCGTTCTACGTCTCTCTACGATCGATACGTATATTAATAAGATTTAATTGACTCCAACAGAATGTCGGTTTGACAAAAAACGACGGGTCTCTCGCGGGAGGGTCGCGACGACGCTGGGCACCTGTGTGGAGGCCACGCAGGTCAGGTGGGTCGAGAGATTCTGGAGCAGTATCGTCGGAACGATCCCTTCGATAGCCCCGTTCAGTTTTTATCACGACTCTACGATACTACTGATAATCTACGCTTCTTGACACGAGGACACAATCTGATCCTATCCACGCCAATACTCATCGTCGTTCTCCTTTTGTTTCAACAAAATGGGCCCCTCCATTGTGAATATCTCTAGAGAATATATTTAACGCTCTTGCGGACTATTTAGGCTACTAGGTGTGTATCATTAGTGTTTTTTGTTAATCTTAGAACATTACACACGACACCAGCGCTGCACGAACGCTCTGTAACACAACAGACCCGCACACCGAAGATTCTCTCCTTCTGATCGGTTCGTTCTACGTCGCCTACGGGGCGCGTTTTATTATTATTTTTTTTTTCATTTTGCCTGTCGAAAGGAATGCTCGGAGATCAGGAACTAATCGTCAGCCGGACCTGAACGAGCCTGAAGAACTTGTCTCATGCCCAGGCGCTCTAGAATCGCCCCGAAATTTTTGTCACAGCATCCTGAACGCGCGCGTGTACGAACGCCTCGTATTCTTCAATCTAATTAGCGATATGTTCAACGGTCCTTCCACGCCAAATGATACTTTGGCGATACTTGCTCGTCCTTACTTATACGATTAAGACTCTACACAATCCTAAGCACCTATCAGCTAAGAAACCTGCGTCTGAATGTCTCTGCGTGTGTGTGTTTGCATGTGTGTGTGTGTTTGCGTGTATGTCGGTTCGTCACGTAAGTGTCCTCTGTCAGTGTGATTAATACTTATCGTCGAACATACAAATTATAAAAATACCACCTGCAACGACGACTACGACAGTGCGCAGCTCCGCCACGTAGCCAGTCGAGCGATCGAACGCGATCCAGCCTGATCGGTCTCGATCCACGGCGTCGGGAATACTGAAGGTACGCATAGAAAAGAGAAAAAAAAATAGATCATGAAAGAGGATCGTCCGTGGCACGTGGCGGATGAGACTTCGATAAATCGTCCACAGCCCTTTCCCGTTTGACCCAGGTGCTATCCTGTCTCTCATCACGCCCGGATAGGTGGCCGGTCGTCGGGGAAAGGGCGCGAGTAGCACCTCGCGAAAGCTGCAAAGGGTCCCGTGACATTAGCCTTAAACGACTAATCTTGGTACCAGCCAGCCTCGAAGACGACAGAACGCGCTGACCGGGTACCAGGTACGCGCGCTACTTTCATCCTCGCTCGTGTTCTCTCGACACAGTGTTGCGACGTCGACCGTCTTAAGCTAGCGGATCGCGCACGCGCGTGTGC